CCTACAGAGGGCTAAATTTTTGGCCACTTGATAACAGAGTCCCATTTAACAACAAAATAGTGTGGCAACTGTTTTTTGTTTGTTAGGGTTTTTTTGTTTGTTTTTTTGAGACAAGAGTCTCACTTTGTCACCCTAGGTAGAGGGCCCTGCTGTCACAGCTCACAGCAACCTCAAACTCTTGGGCTTAAGCGATTCTCTAGTCTCAGCCTTCCAAGTAGCTAGGACTACAGGCACCCGCCACAACGCCCAGCTATTTTTTAGAGATGGGGTCTCGCTCTTTCTCAGGCTAGCCTTAAACTCCTGAGGTCAAGCAATCCACCTACTTCAGCCTCCCAAGTGCTGAGATTATAGGCGTGAACCACCGTGTCCAGCCCCCCAAATAATTTCAAAATATATGTCACACAACAGTTTCCTGTGGTTGAGAGACTATTCTAAGTTCTCCTGTGAAGTCTAATATATCCTTGGCCTCTGGACCCACAATGCCTTTGTGGACCCTAGAAAATTCATTAACTAGTAGACAGATGCTCACAAATTTATAGAACTGACTCATATTATTGCACAGGGCTCTTGTGAAGTTTGCTAAAATTTAATATAGTGCCTGTCACAGAGTAAGCCCTTAACTGACATTAGGTGTGGTGCTGTGTAGTAGTGAAGAACTTTAGAACCATTCAGTGATGTTTATAAGGATTTACATGAGCCATTATTTTTCTGTCACTTAAAAATCCATATATGGTAATTACCTGCAATCGTATTTGCCTCAGAATACTAGCCCAAAACAACAAAAAACAATAGGAATGAGAATCTCTGCTAACTAAACTAATTCCCTTCCTTTCCTTATAAAATCAATTGAGCAAATTCTTCAGAAACTTTTTTGGGTTTTAGGAATAACTGCTACTACTAATTTATTTTTAATGGTATTTTTGTACAGATGCCCCAGATAAGGAATTGACAATGACCAAATTAATTGGGAAAGTGCTAAATTTAACAAACCTTACTTTTTGATCAGCAAAGACTTTTTTAATTAAGGATTTTAGACTTAGCTTTGGATAATAAAATTAGGTGCCATAGGGAATATTAACATTGTAAATGCAAATAAACAATTTAGAATGTCAATTTAATATTGATCAAAGTTGCCTACAATTTTCAGGAAAAAAATAAATAATTCTAGGTAAGTATAAGAGAAGTTGGATTGCATCCTATTTATAATCTTGTACTTCTTTTTTCACTCTGCTTCAGTATGCTACGTGGATAAAAAAGAAAATTCAGGTGGATAGTGGCCTTTCCTCCCCTTCTCCAAGTTTTATTGGATTGTTCTTCCAGAAACAATTTTAAGGTTTGCAGAGTTGCATCTAGATCAAGCAGTGGGATTAGAAGAATCTGAAGGTTTTGATCATGAAAAAGCTTACCTTGAATTATCACAGGTGACAGCCAGTCTTTGCCTAATGATGTAAGCAACGTGGACACTGTAATGTCTTTGAATTACTTACAAATTCACCAGCTAAAGAAGTGATGTTGATATCTGACATGAACAATGAGTAAAAGCCATATAAGAATCTTCTAGTAAGTTGACTTTATCTCGGAATTGTTTAGAGAAATAATTCTGAGAGATGAAACTTGAGGCAAGTTTTCCTGTAATTTCCTGAAATCAAATTTGGCTACAGCTTGTTGAGAATTTTAAGCATATTTCAAGATACTCTTGAATCTTGGATATTTGAAGTATTCCTCTGGTGGCCAAGACACTTTGAAAATAGGTTTTGTTTAACAGTAATCCAAGATTTAAGGCTCTTCAGCTAACTGCTTGTCCAGTGAGACCACAGTTCCTGTGACAGTGGCAGAAAATGTCCAGAAAAGAGTTGGCAGCAGCAGTTGGCTTGTGTTTCACTCCCAAAAAGGCAGAAACTGATGAATAGCACAAAAAATAATCAGTTTCCCACCCTCTTATCACAGGTGAAGATTTATTGCTCTAGGGACTTTAGGCTTCACATGTTCTCAAAATGAGCGATGTTGAGAGCTTCAAGGGTCCCATCATCTAAGCCTGCAGCACTGTGAAATTCACTTTTAATTTTACTCTTTCAAAAGATATTTCCTATTAAATTTATTTCACTTCAGAATAAAAACTAACATTACATAGTAGGCTGATAAGCCTGTGTCCCTCATTTTGATTTTCCAGAAATTGCATTTCTTCCAGCTGCTCAAAAGCTAGATTTCTCCATGAAAGAATCACAACAAAACCACCTCATTCTGTACAACAAACTTCACAGTTTCAAATCCAAGCCAGAACGCACCCCTGACACAACACACGTGCTATATACCTTCAAGAGTTTCCTCTTTTCTCTACATATAGATAATTGCAAACATTAATGTTCTGGAACAAGAATGACAGTCCCAAATGTGAAATATGAAGGCAGAGCAAGATTTACCAATCCATTTTGTTGAAAAAAAGAACAAGCCAAATTTAAATTATTTTCCAAACTCTCTGATTTTAGCCAGTTATCTATAGGATGCTACAGAGTAGAATTTTTATAAAACCTGGCTGAGATTTAGAATGTGGACCTGGATGTAAGTGTAACATTATGCAGAAATTGCTATAAAAATTCAGGTTGGTGTTGGCCACATAGGAATACATCATCTCAGAGGCAGAGAAGATCAAAGAGTGTTTCTTTAAAGAGTTCCTCTAAGATGGCAGTGAAATAATTGCCTGGCACCCTTCTACTTTTGCAGGAGACTAGCAGAGAGTGATTTGGGCAAGGTGGGGCAGGGGGAGCTGTAAAATATATCATTAAGACAACTGGAAAACTCTGAACAAGATCTGAAGAGTATACATTAAGAGTGAATCAATTTTCATTTCCTGCTTTTGGTAATTATACTACAGTTATGTAAGAGAATTCCACGTTTTTGGAATAACAATGATTTCAAATCATGTTATTCCAAATATAATAATGTATTTGGAAATAAAAATTAAATTATTTAGGCCAGGCGCAGTGGCTCACGCCTCTAATCCAAGCACTCTGGGAGGCCAAGGCAGGTAGACTGCTTGAGCTCACAAATTCAAGACCAACCTGAGCAAAAGGGTGACCCCATCTCTACTAAAAGTAGAAAAACTGAGGCAAAGGTGGCACCTATGGCTCAAAGGGGTAGGGCGCTGGCCCCATATGCCAGAGGCGGTGGGTTCAAATCCAGCCCCAGCCAAAAAAAAAAAGAAAAACTGAGGCAAGAGGATCATTTGAACCCAAGAATTTGAGGTTGCTGTGAGCTATGACGCCATGGCACTTTACCATGACAGTGTGAGACTCTGTCTCAAAAAAAGAAAAAAAATTAAAGTATTTAAAAATAAAGAGCCATAATGTCTGTAACTCAGAAACAATTCAGGAAAAACATTCTATATTTTGTGTCTATTTATATTTATCTAGAAAGAAAGAAAAAGGGGGATAAAGGAAATATAGCAGCATCTTTAACATCTGGGGATAGTAACCAGAAATTCTTTGTACTATTACAATTTTTCTGTAAGTTTGAAATTATCAAAATAGAATATTTCTAAAAAGAAATATAAATTTCTAAAAATATTAATAAATTATAACACATAGTATAAAATAAACCATGAACCTATACTGATAGGAGTAAATAAAACAAATGTGGTTCCACAAAGAACAGAGATATTTACATAGTCTTAAATTATTTCCCCATAGGCAACTAGCTACAAGGTGAAAAAGTAACTTCACAAACAGAGAAACCCAGTAGATATCACCATTAATAACCAATACTATCATCACCAGTAATCTGAAAAATCAAAGCTTAGATCACATGGTAGGATGCAATGAGAAGATCACAGGGTCATAGCTGTGATATTCTCGCCAAGAAATGTATAGGTCTACATCTAATCATACTAGAACATCAGAAAAACTCAGTTGAGGAACATTCTACTTAATCTGGCTCTAATGTCCAAAAGATTCAGGTCATGAAGGTCAAGGAAACACAGAGGAACTAGTCTAGACTGAGTCTAAGAGACACAGTTAAATGCCATGGCTCTGAACGGGATCTTTTTGCTATAAAGGACATTATAAAGCTTAAAAAGACTATGAGAATTAAATGATAGTATTAATGTTAACTTTCCAATCAGAAAGGTTATACTGTAATTATATAGAATGTCCTGACTTGTAGGAATACCCGCTAAAGAAATCAGGAATGATTTCAAATGGTTTGGGGTAAAAGTTTTATACCTAAATTTGAAGGTTTTCTATAATTTTAAGATTTTCCAAAAAAATTAATTAAAAATAAATAAATTAACAGGAAAGGTATAAAGCCTAAGGTAAACCTTATTTTTCCACGAGGAAAGATCTATAAAAATCAGTGCTTAAAACTGAAATTAGTTCAAAGGCATTATAACAATTGTAATACATGTAGACATCTACAATTACCACAGTACCAGTATGTATGCCAAAATGATGTGTCTAAATATCACTATAGTGAGAGAATTTATAAAATACAAAAAAAGCCATCAATTATGCCATTAAAGTTTTGTGTGTCTGTTTTTTGTTTTTTGAGACAGTCTCATTTCATCACCCTTGGCAGAGTGCCATGGCATCATAGCTCACAGCAACCTCAAACTCTTAGGCTCAAGAGATCCTCTTGCCTCAGCCTCCTGAATAGCTCAGACTACAGGCGTGCACTACTACACCCAGCTAGTTTTTCTTTTAGTAGAGACAGGGTCTCTCTTGCTCAGGCTGGTCTTGAACTCCTGAGCTCAAGCAATCCACCCACCTCAGCCTCCCAGAGTGCTTTATAGGTGTGAGCCACCACTGCACCTGGTCTAACTCCACTAAAATATTAACTTGGTTGCTTGGCTATTTAAACATCTGACATTTAGGCAATTATGTAAACCTCTCTTAATTCTGGTTTTCATTTGATAGATCCACTTATCAGCTAAAGAGGACAAGAAACATTTAAAATACTATATATAAATTTTCATCAGACATATAAATACAAAAATATTTTCCTTTAATATTTTCCTTTGTCATATATTAAATGAAAAACAATTAAAATGTCATATAAACAGACCAGTAATAAAATCTGATGTTTCAGAGCATATAATTTTTCTGTAAAATCTGTACATATTCTCGTGATGCTTTCCAGACTAGATCGTGGTTTAGATTTGATTCATCAGTAGATCCCACAGGAGAAGCTATACAGGATTCAGTTTCCAATTCAGCAGCGGCTAAAAACAAAAAGAAAGAATTATATTCTTTATCTAAGGCATTTTGTTAATCACTAAGTGAAAGTCAGTTAAGAAAAAAAGAGTTGAAAATTTTATCAGTATTAATAAGAATGAAAAATATGTATGTACAACTATGATACAAAATTACTATTAAAAATAATTTGCCCTAGTTGTACAATCGGTTAATTATCACTGTGGTTATGTATCAGAGCTTTTGGTTTTCTCATTCTAACTTCATTATGCAACCACCACATGCCAAGGTGCTATGACAAACACTGGAATAAGAAAATGAAGATGATATAGTCCACCCTTCAACAATCATATCTTATAACCTGAAAAGAACAGACACACAGGCCATTTCCACACAGTCACAGATACCATGCAGGTATAAAACAGGGCACTATTGGGACACACAGAAGTGCGTCTATCCCAGTTGTGTATCAATATTGTAGACTTTGCGGAGAAGCAGTATGTAGCCTGATACCTGAGGACAAGGAAAAAGTATGGTACAGAAAAGAAGCAAATGCAAAGAGCTGGAGGCAAGGAAGACACTGGGATTCTGAGGGGTCTAGTTTAGAGTGACACTAAAACAAAGGGCCAGAGTCCAGGAAAGGGCAAAAGACTTGACAAGAACCAAATTGACTTGGCTGTTTTTATTCCACAATAAGGAATTTGAAACTTGTCCTGAGGGCAAAAGTAAAGCAAAGATAAAGAACTGGAGATTTAAAATGTCTTTTGTCAAGTGACAGCTTATCAGCTGTAATTGTAACAAACCAGTCAACGTACAGAGATGGTCAATATGAGGATCTAGGCCTACTGTCGTGACAGGTACATGTGGTGCATGTCCAGTCTACAAAAATTAGGTCAACTTAAGGAGACAGACATTGTAGGGAGGTGGTCAGCTATGGAGGTTCTACTGTATTGCTTGATAAGTCTGGAGTCTCCTGGCTTTAAATCACTGCTCTAAACCTGAGAAGTTGATGGCTTTGTTTTCTGAGAACGGTTTTGGTGTGCTGTCTGACAGTACCATAGCGATGGCAGGAGTGAAGATAGTATAGAGACAGAAATAAAGAGATACATAGACTTTTTGAGATTCTTTTTAAACTGTGATTAATGAGGCATAAGTATACTCTTCATGATGAATGTTTATGTTTTCACATCCCTGAAAAAATATTTAACATAGTATCTATTTACCAAACAATAAAAAGGGATGCCATTTGCTATTTATTGTTTATTTCAGAAATCAGTTAATCTAAATTTAAGTCATATATTTTGGCAACATACCTTCTTCTAGTTCTCTAGTTATGTTTTTTTCCAACTCCTGCTGCATCTGAAATAAGTCAGATATTATTTATAATGTTTAAGTTAAACAGAAGACATTAAAATTCTTACTTATTTAATTTTAGATAATAGAGAATACACGCAAGGGCTATATTCAGAAAGTATTCAGCCCTGTTACTATTTTTTATGCTGCCTGGTTGGATACTTTCCAGACAGACCTCATCAGTATAATGCTTTTTAGATTAATCTGATAAAAAGTGTCATTAATTTTGGCCTATTGAATGTATATCATTTCAGAAGAGGAAGAGTGATATTTCTTTTTATTAGTATAAATCAGTGGTTCTCAACCTGAGAGTCGCAACCCCTTTGGGAGTCGAATGACCCTTTCACAGGGGTCGCCTAAAACCATCACATACACTCCGTACAAATACAGGTGTATGAAAATAATTTTATGGTTAGGGGTCACCATAACATGAGGAACTGTATTAAAGGGTCCCGGCATTAGGAAGGTTGAGAACCACTGGTATAAATGTTAAATAATTCAAGTCATATTTTGCAATGAATAGCATTACTTAGCAAAACTCTGTCCTATATAAAGATTTCAAAGTATGCACTATGCTATTAACTTTTCAGTACAGAATCTTAAATATATACATGAAGAAAATGGTACTACCAAAATGCCATGTGAAAATTCTACTGGCAGAAAAGTAAAAATATTATGCTATCTGTATTATGATTAATATTTCTTTATTCATATGAACACCAACACTCAGAAAATTTACTTGGAAAAAAGGATAAATACAGATTACAGCATTTTTTTTTTTTTTGAGACAGAGCCTCAAGCTGTCCCCCTGGGTAGAGTGCCGTGGCATTACAGCTCACAGCAACCTCCAACTCCTGGGCTCAAGCGAGTCTCTTGCCTCCGCCTCCCAAGTAGCTGGGACCACAGGCGCCCGCCACAACGCCCGGCTATTTTTTGGTTGCAGCCATCATTGTTGTTTGGCGGGTCCGGGCTGGGGATTCGAACCCGCCACCTTAGGTGTACATGGCTGGCGCCTTAGCCGGTTGAGCTATAGGAGCCGAGCCACAGCACGCTTTTAAACTTGTTTTGATTCATGACTAGAAACAAGGAAAACAACTTATAGCTCTAACTCTTTAATTCCAAATTTGATTTCTTTTCAGAAATTAGTACCAATTATCTAAAACATCTAATTATAGTTATTTACCTAATTATTAAATGTATGGGAATATTTCAAACTATGTCACAGTGTTCCCATCTAGAGTGTTTGTATTAAAATCTTTAAAATATATCTCTCAAGAAGATGACCCAAGTATGAAATAGTATATTGAACACAAATATTTTGTAGTGATAATTATAATATGATATCCAACACCTTTAGAAATTTTGTCTAACTGGTTTCCCAATATTTTGAGAGACTGTTTTCCATAACATTACTGTGACAATAACATTAATAAAAAGGCTTTATAAAATGAGTAAAGGGACAATAGCATTAGTAGATAGGTCTTTTAAAAGTAATAACTCAATACCAGAAGAGGGGAGACGTCTTTACTGAAATAATCTTATTCTACCATTAGCAAATACTACATAAAATGTACACTTGTACATGGCTTGAAATAAGGAAGTATGAATGTAATGCAGTTACTGTCTTTTCACCTAAAAGCTCTTCTCCCAAAAATTAACTTCCAATGGGTAACAGATTTTATTATCTCTTCATACACCAATCACAAAACTTTCTTAATACAGTAGAACCTCCATAGGTGACCACCTCCCTACACTGACCACCCCATTAGCTGACCTAATTTTCATAGACCAGACATGCACCACACGTACATATCAGTACAGTAGTAATAGTTCCTTACGTTGAAAACCTCCACATGTTGACCAGTGTGTTACAGTCCCTTGGATGGTCAACTTATAAGGGTTCTACTGTATGTAAATTTTATTTAGAAAAAAATGAAATACTTTTTTGACAGATTGCTTGCTTTTATACTGAAGAAATCTTACCTCTCTAGATGGAGAATACTTTTTGCACAACAAATTTAATCAGAGGCTTTTTTTTCTCCCAACTCTTAGAGAGCACATGGGAGAAGCAGCTGCCTCTACTCCACCCCTGGAGTTGCCCCCCCTGCATGAATTCTCCTCCAGACTTTCACGAACCCTTGAATACTTTACCACATAAAAGAATGCTTATCCTCATATTAATCTGAAATTAAAAAAAAAAAAGACACTGCATGACAAGCTAAAGAAGGATTTTTTACCTATCTTTGAAAAAGAAAACAACACAATTATGGAAAATTCAAGCTAGATAAGAGAAAACAACAAATCTTCAGATTACTAGCCATCAAGAAAGAGTTCCTAATTCTATATGAAATCAGTACATTGTGCCCCATAAATGCACTAATGTATACATGATATGTGTTTATGACTTAATAAAAATAAAATAATTTAAAAAATAATAATTTTAAAACTTTTGAAAAATGTTTTTAAAAAAAGAAAAAGACTGCTGAGGGCAAGTACCTTTGCAAAAGATACTAGGTCAGATACAAAAGCTCAAAGGGAAAAGGGACAGACCCAGGTCCTTGGGAGGGAGCCTCTCTGGAGGGGCACCCAGAAGATGAATTAAAGGGTCTAGAGTTTTGAAGGCTCCAGTTTAGTCCTGGCTGCTGGGAGGCTGAGGGGCTTTACTTAATATGATCACAGGCAAACTAGCAAATGTTAAATAAATTTTAAAAGTCCCTTTCATTTTATGCATACTTTCCCATTAAAGCAAACATTTTCCTCAGATTTCTCTTAATAGAAGTTCAGAATCATCTCTAGTTGAATGACTTAATATAGTGCTTGGCACAGATTATAGAAGGAAAAAGTAGGGAAAAATGTGTTGGTGACATCAATTACTGTCCTACTCAGACAAGGGCTAGAAAGTGGCTTTTGAAGTGTGCAGAGCAATAGCTTAGGAGAAACTAAAAGTTGCCAAAGGAAATAAAAAAGCTTGACAGATTGCTAATCTTCATTTTATGCATACTGCTAAATCAAAAGCTGTATTTGCTCTATATGGAAATATATAAGCTATTTTTAATAAAAAATGCTCCTCCATTCTCCGTGGCAGTTTTGTTTATTTCCAGATAGAGAGTATGTTTCAGAGAGTGGAGGTAGCTTGAAATATAACATTAAAGAGAGCAATGTACCCACCAAATTTTAGCTACTGAGAAGGATGCGCTCCTAACCAGTGGTTTTCAATCTATGTACATCAGAAATCTAAGGCTCCCAACAGGACAGACACTACAGGATTAAAGGATAAAAAGTCACAACTTTAGAGTCCCCATCCCTCCTTTAGCTAGACTTCTGACTTCTATAAAATGGTTTCATGCAACTGCTTTTTTAAAAAGGGAAAGTTCTATTGTTTGTTAAAGAAAATTTAAAAGTACAAAAGTCACTGCTTTAATCAAAGTCCTTAATTTTACACAAGAGCCAAGACAGGTTCAGAGAGTATAGCGTGCCTAGGGTCACAAAACAATTAACAAGGCAAGAAAGGTCTTCTTACTAAATCTGAAGTTCTATGCCAGTTACTTAAATATGTAGATTTTAAAATATAACTAAGAGAAAATGCATACATAAAACTGTCATGTAACTCAGTAACATTTAGTAATGAGCTACTTAAAAAAAGTAGTTCTCTAATTTATTAAGTTCTAAAGCTACATATAAAAATTAAGGGATGGCATCTGTGGTTCAGTGGGTAGGGTACCCGCCACATACACTGAGGCTGGTGGGTTCAAACCCAGCCTGGGCCAGCTAAAACAACAATGACAACTGCAACAACAAAAAAAACAGCCAGGCATTGTGGCGGGCGCCAGTAGTCCTAGCTACTTGGGAGGCTGATCTAAGAGAATCACTTCAGCCCAAGAGTTTGAGGTTGCTGTGAGTTGTGATGCCACGGCATTCTACCCAGGGCGACAGCTTGAGACTCTATTTAAAAAAAACAAAAAAAGAAAAGATATATCTGCCCACAATAACATGAATTCAGTTCTGCTGTCCTCTCTGCTGTAGCAGAGACACCCTGGGACAGGTGTCAGGCATCTGTTTCCTCCACTTAACAACTGTATAGGAAAGTACCTGTCTGGGAAGAAGAACTCAGAAGTCCCTTGTGATTCACATCTGAGCCCCATCCTCCAATTAGTTATTAGGAGTGAGTAGTAAAGCTAATTGTTGATGTCCATCTGTCTAATTCCTTCAGAAGGGGAAGAAGAGTGGCATTTTCTGCCTACCCCACCATAGCCCCAACAAGAACAATCACCATACAGTGCTTTCAGAAATGTTTTATTCCTTGACTTCATAATCATGCTGTATATTCTTCCTAACAACCTTCATTTTAAAGAGGGAAAAACTTGAAAGATTTTAGAAAAATATAGTAAAATGAATAACAATAGTCAAGCCAGACAAATAAAAATACAGAATTCCCTCATTCAATAATTAAGTTACAAGCTACTATTAAATTATTATTTTTCACCTTATCTGGAAATATTAAAAATAAACACCCTTCACCTCCTCCCCAAAAAAATAAGGGAAAATATTTCATCAAAAATCTTCCCTTGCATCATACCTGCATTTATACATCCCTTCATTACCATCTTGTAAGATGACACATTACCTGATATTTCTGGTCAGAACTAATGAGAACATTTTACATTTGCATCATGCTTAACAATTTATAGAAGTATTTAGCATTCATTTGCTTTTTGTATCCAGTAGTACAATTTCATAACTTTGAACCTTTTAGGCCTAATCATCTCATTTTTTCAGAAAAATAAAACAAAACTAAGCCAACAAAATCGTAAAACATAATAGATAGGATCTTGTAATTTATTTATTAAAATAAACATTTAATTTGTTCCCTTTTATTTGGCAGCAATACTGTCTAAGAAACCTTAGATTTGTTCTTCTGTGATTTCTTAGGACACAAAGCCAAGTAAAGAAACAAGATTGAGGCCTGGTTTCACACAGGCCCACCCTACTTTTCTGGGCATTGAGATCATGAATACACAGTCAAAGCTGTAAGCCACTGGGCTCTGACTGAAATAGATATTTTAGTAACAACGATACATAATTAAAACTAGTTGCTATTTGTTTTTGCTCAAGCAAATGTTTTACGTTTTTTTCAATTTTTTTAAAGAGGCATGGTCTTGCTATGTTGCCCAGGCTAGAGCGTAGTGGCTATTCACAGGCATGATCAAAGTGCCATACAAGTTTGAACTCCTGGGCTCAAGTGATCCCCCTTAGTAGCTGGGATTATGGGTGTGCACCACCCGGCTTTTAAAAGTTCCCCCCAATCAAAAAGCTGTAAAATAACTTTTACAACTTAGATAAATATCTTAAACTAGGTCAAAAATAATTGGATTGGATTTTTTTTCCTTTCCAACTCTACAATTGTTTTGAGACCAGCCTAAGGAAGAGTAAGGCCAGGCATGATGTTCACCTATAGTCCCAGCTACTCAGGAGGCTGAGGGAGGAAGATTCCTTTGGGAGTTTGAGGTTGCAGTAAGCTATGATAGCACAACTGCACTTTAGCCTGGGTGACAGAATAAGACCCTGTCTCAAAAAAAAAAAAAAAAAAAAGGAAAGTATTTATCTTGAATTCCTTTAAATAATAAACATTCACATGTGTTTATTATTTAATTTGAAATTTTAAAAGCTGGGGGTGGTACTTTGATGATCTCCTGAAGTGTTTGGATCATTCACTTATGATTAGGGGTAGAAAACTTGAGATGGGGCAGAACTTTAAAAGTCTTATGAACCACTGCCAAACTAAAATCAATTAAAAATTAAGCCAAAGTATCTCAAAGTATACCTTTAGTTATTAGGCAATAATATTTGATTTCTAATAACTTAAATGCAGCTTTTCAAGAAATTTAAAATGTGTCAGTTTAGCTACAAACTGAATTGAATAAAGTTAACAAATGGGTATCTCTTGAAAATGATAGCTCCAGGGACCCACAAAATTGTAAAATTTCTGTTTCCCTTCTTTATTAACACAGATAATTAGGACATTTACTTAACACGCATACATCAATTAAACAACTCAGTATTTCACCAAATTAAAAACAAAAATTGTATCAGAAACATGAAACTCAAAGGAAGAAAGATAACATTAACTAACCTTGGTCAAGTAGCTCTCCATGCTATTATTTGAAGCCCGTGGGTTCAAGGTAGGGATCAGTAAGTTTTCTCTTGGAGTATGTTTTCTATTGAGAGCTAAACCATTATTAACATTTCCAACACAAGGTGACTCAAGGACTGGCCTTGTAGCAAGAGTGGTGAGTAAAGATCTGGTCTGCTGTTTCTCCACAAGCAGTTTGGTACTGACCTCTGCTAGCTTCTCATTAGTTCTGTGAGGATTGCAAAAGACAAAAGCTCAGGACTTCATTTTTCTCTAAATGATTCCTAAACAACTTCATTTTTTTTTTTTTTAGCGACAAGAGTTTCATTTTGTCATCCTCGGTACAGTACCATGGCGTCACAGCTTATAGCAACCTCCAGCTCTTGGGCTTAGGTGATTCTCTTGCCTCAGCCTCCCAAGTAGCTGGGACTACAGGCCCCTGCCACAATGCTTGGCTATTTTTTTTTTTTGTTACAGTTTGGCTGGGGCCAAGTTTGAACCTGTCACCCTCCATATATAGGGCCAGCGCCCTACTTACTGAGCTAAGGCACCACCCATGACTTGCATTTTTAACACAGGAGTCCATAACAGTAAACAAAACTTCCATTTAAATAGTTTTTTCTTTTAACACTGAAAATGTATAAGAGCATACCTACTGTATGCAATTACAGTTTAAAAACTTCTAAAGAGGTACATACGGTATTTGCAAGGAGATTTCTAAAAATTGAGAAATTCTAACAAAGTAGGAAAAGGAGAGAAATGGCTACATATTATATAATGGTGTATAAATTTAAAAGGTAACACTGCTGCCTTCTGGAACAACTCTATTAAGATTCTTAAGAATGCCATTAGAAGTACTTGGGATTAACCATGTGAGATGATTAATATGTTTATTTGATTGACTATAATAATCATTTCACTACATATAAATACAATATAACTTCTGTAAGTTGACCATCCAAAGGACTGTAACAAATTGGTCAATTTGTTCACTACATATAAAACAATATAACTTCTGTAAGTTGACCATCCAAAGGACTGTAACAAATTGGTCACATAGAGAGGTGGCCAAAACAAGGCCTACCGTACTGTACTGATACATACCTGGGGTATACATGTCCAGTCTATGAAAATTAGGTTAACTTAAAGAGGTGGTCAGTGTAAAGAGGTGGGCAACTATGGCGGCTCTCCCGTATAATAAACAGCTAAAATTTTAAAAAACTAAAAATACTTTTATTTAGGGAACCCATGCACAGACTTAAAAAACAAAATCCCTCCAAGACATTTTCAAGCATTTGCTTTCATCGCCCTTACACATTTCACCCATCATCTGGGAGAAATTAGGCATTTGGCACTGAGGATGAATTCAGAGCAGCAAGCTGTAGGGGAGAACGAGACAGTTGAAATGGTGATCAGAAAGAACTAAAAAGCAGCTCCAAAGGCTAGCACCTGGCATTGCTTTCAAGCATCACAGGTGGGATCTGTCATTTCTGTTTTCCTGACATTCCCTCAGGCTGTCCAAGGTATTATATTTAATAGCTTTATGAATTGCACTTCCCTTCATCCCTGTGCTAATCACTCCCTATACAAGCATGCCTTTTAGTAGAGTGGGAAAACCATAAAGAATAGTCTCAAGGCGCCCTCTAGTGGCAAATAACAAAGATTACCATTAAAGAAAACTACCAAGTGCCATAATGTGCCAAGAGTAATTAATAGTTAAAAGTACCTGACTCTTCCAAGATATAAACTCATTAATATTTCCATTAAGGGGAATACTACAATAATATCACTGTTTAAACCATGCAGATGAATGATTAATAGATCAAGCTAACTACAAGAGATTATCAGGATATAAAAAAGCTATAGAAAATGAAAAAAACAGGAGCGAGACAAGTAACTGTCCTGGATTAACATTTTAAAGGTAAGTTCATTTACTAGCATCATTTTCCAAAAGTATATTATCTAGTCAGGTTTCACTTCCTACTAGTCTCACGAACCTGTTTCATTAAAAATTAGGCTTTCAAGACAAATAAATGAGGTTAATTTATTTTCTGATTTTATGTTTTGACTTACTTGCTTAGTTTAGTAGCCAATGATTTTCTAACTTTTAATTCTTCTAAATAGAGTTGCTTATATTTTTCCAATTCAGCTTTATTAAAGTCTTCTTGAGAAGTTTTCATTTTGAAGAGTTCAGATTCTAGGTCTCTAATTCTGAGTTCCATCTGACTTCTCATTGAAGAAATATGACTCTCTCTTAACTGTTCTAAATTTTCTTGAGATGCTGCTTGTGTCTTAAACAAATTAAAAGGATATATTTTTAAAGTAATCATATACTGAATTTTTTTTGAGTCAGTCATTCAGAAAGCAATTTTAAATAGGCGAAGAAGCTGAAGTTTAAAATGTTTATCATCAATATTAAGTAAACTGATAATTTAGAGTTAAATCTGAATTATAAAAAAATTTAAATCATTCTTAATGTTAATTATAATATGATAATATAAATATAAAGACTAACAGAATCAATTTAAAATTTTGCAAACTGAACAATGAGACAAGAATATTCAAGAGCATACTATAATTTCTTTCTTTTTCTTTTTGAGAAAGAATCTCACTATGCCACTCATGGTAGAGTGCCATAACGTCACAGCTCACAACAACCTCAAACTCTTGAGTGATTCTCTTGCCTCAGCTTCCCAAGTAGCTGGGACTACAGGCACCTGCCACAACGCCCGGCTATTTTTTGTTGCAGTTGTCATTGTTGTTTAGCTGACCCAGTTGGGCTTGAACCCACCAACTTTGGTGTATGTAACTGGTGCCGTAACCACTGTGCTGTGAGCACCGAGCCATATACTATAATTTCTAAGTCACAGCTTTTTCTTTTCCTAATAGTCTTGTTTTATGCTGACTGGTCTTAATAATCAAATGATTCTCTAATATGAATCATTATTCTGTAAGATCAATTTAGTTATAAAAATGATAGAAACAGAAATACTTATTTATTTTTATTTTTTTCTGAGACAGAGCCTCAAGCTGTCACCCTGGGTAGAGGGCAGTGGCATCACAGCTCACAGCAACCTCCAACTCCTGGGCTTAAGTGATTCTCTTGCCTCAGCCTCCCAAGTAGCTGGGACCCCACCACAACGCCTGGCTATTTTTTGGTTGTAGTTGTTATTGTTGTTTGGCAGGCCCCAGCTGGATTTGAACCTGCCAGCTCTGGTGTATGTGGGTGGTGCCTTAGCTGCTTGAGCTACAGGTGCCGAACCAGGAAACTGAAATATTGAAAAAGAGAAATAGATGCTACCTTCCTTCCAGAAATCTACAAATTTCCCTTGCTAGAAGTAAAGGAAATACATACAATGTGCATATCCAAACATAATTTGCAGTGAAATGAATTATAGATTTAAAAACTAACCTGTAAAAATAGATTGACTTCTTTTAATTTTTCTACTATATCCTGTCTTGCTCTTTCTTCAATCTCTTGTTTATACTGTTCTACTTGACCACGTTCTACAATATTCATTTCTATTTGACTTTTGAGGTTTACCACTTCTTGTTCCAACTTCTTTTTATTCTTCTGTAGTTTCTCACATTTCTTTTGCATTGTTTTCATAGATAATAACTCCTCTTGAAGAATTTGATTCTTTGCATCTAGATGTAGACACTTTGAAGATGAACTTTCCAGTTGTGCTGTAAGATCATCAATCTACATGAACAAAATAATGCAGTTTGGTTATGAAGGAAGTAGGCAGAGAACATTCTAACACAAAACCAATAAATTTAGAAATAAGTTCAGTTGCAATAAAACATTACATATATTGTAATAGATTCTCAAATGTGGTCCTTAAATTACTCAGAAAATCAAGAACAGGTGACTAGGAGTCACAAAAATATATTTTTTCACCATCTTTGATACCAACATTTGTGGTTGATCTTAGACTTTTATTTTGCTTTGTTTGTTTCACATCTTTCCTCCTTAAAATGTCTCTAAGTAACCTCTTAGTAAAATGTCTCATACTTTTACCCCCATCATGACTCCCTATAATTTCTAAAGAAGTTTTAGAGACATCCTATTCAGTTATTCTTCAAATGTGGGCCCTTAAGTTACTCAGAAAATCACTGCCAGTGCCCCTACACACTGTCCAGGACTCTGAATTATCAGCCCACTGCATCCAGGCCAAAACACTTTCCAGGGCCTGAGGACAGGCCCATTCTATCTGCCACGACTGTCACCAGTATCCCATCCACGAGCTGAGGGCCTAAGGATCAGTCTGCCCTGACTGCAGAATGAAGAAAACCCATATGACATAGGAGATTCCATCAAGTAAACAAATAATTGAATTCTGAAAAGTTCCAAATGAGAAGAGATGGGAGAAGGAATAGCTATCTTATTTAAGGAAGTAATAGCAGAAAAATGTCCATGTCTTTTTGAGAGAGATAAACATTCAGATATAGGCTCAAAGATCCCCAAACAGAATCAATTCAAAAAGATCTTCTTCAAAGCAAAGTATACCCAAACCATCAAACCATCAAAAGACAAAGAGTCAAATCACATATAAGGGAATTTCCATCAGACTAACACTAGATTTCTCAGCAAAAATCTTAACAGGCTGAGAGAGAATGAAATAATGAATTCAAAGTACTGAAAGAAAAAGACTGTCAGTCAAGAATACTATAGCCAGGCTGGGCTGGGTGGTTCACGCCTGTAATCCTAGCACTCTGGGAGGCCAAGGCAGGTGGATTGCCTGAGCTCAGGGGTTCGAGACCAACCTAAGCAAAAAAGTAAGACTCCATCTCTACAAAATAAAAAAAAAAATAGAAAAACTGAGGCAAAAGGACCGCTTGAGCCCAAGAGTTAGAGGTTACTGTGAGCTATGACACTACAGCACTCTATCCACGGCAACAACTTGAGACTCTGTCTTAAAAAATAATAATAATAATAATAATATTATAGCCAGCAAAGCTATCCTTCAAAAATGAAAAAGAAATAAAGTCTTTAGATAAGCAAAAATTTATTACCACTAGACTGACCATACAGAAAAATGCTTAAAGGAGTCCTAAATCTGAAAGCAAAAAGATGATATCTGCCATCACGAAAATATAAAACTTGCAGAAACATAAATGAGAAAGAGAAGGAAATCAAATGTTTTCACTATGGAAAACCACCAAATTTTAAAGACAAACAGTAAAAGAGGAATGAGGAATATGGGATGCAAAAAAAAAACAATCAGAAAACAAGTAAGAACTCATAGGAGTAAGTCCTTATCTATCAATAACAACTTTGAATGTAAACAGCTTAAATTTCCCAATTAAAAGATACAGACTGGTGAATGAATAAAAAACAAAACCTAAATTATAGATTCAAACCACAGATTCCATGCTATTCCAATCAAAAATGCCAGTGACATCCTCACAGAAAATAAAAACAATGTAAAATTCATATAAAACCAAAATTACCCTGAGAAGCCAAAATAATTCTGAGTAGAAGGACAAAGCTGGAGGCATTATACCACCTAATTTTAAAATATACTGCAAAGCTACAATCAAAACAGCACATGGTATTGGCATAAAAACACATAGACCAGCTCAGAGCCTATAGTTCAGTAAGTAAGACACCAAGTCACATACACCAAGGCTGGCGGGTTTGAGACCAGCCCAGGCCTGCTAAACAACAATGACAACTGCAACCAAAAAACAGCTGGGTGTTGTGGCAGGCACCTATAGTCCCAGCTACGTGGGAGGCTGAGTTAAGATAATAGCTTAAGCCCAGGAGTTTGAGGTTGCTGTGAGCTGTGATGCCACAGCACTCTACCAAGGGCAACATAATGAGACTTTGTCTCAAAAAAAAACACATAGACCAATGAAACAGAATAGAGAACACAGAAATGAATTCATGTATTTATAGTCATGATTTCTGTCAAAAGTGCTAAGAACATACACTGAGGAAAGAATACCCTCTTTAATAAACAGTGCTGGGAGAACTGGACATCCATGTGTAGAATGAAACTAGACCCCTATCTACCAACATATATAAAAATCAAATTCAAACTGGGTTATAGACTTAAATGTAAGACCTAAAACTATAAAACTACCAGAAGAAAACATAGAAGAAATGGCTCCAGACATTGTTCCAGGCAAATATTTTATAAGTAAGCCTTCAAAAGCACAGGCAAAAAACCAAAAATTGACAAATGGTACTATACTAAACTAGAAAGCTTCTACACTGCAAAGGAAACAATCAACAAAGAGACAACCTGTAGAATGGAAGAAAATATTTGCAAACTATTCATATGACAAGAGATTTAATATCCAGAATATAAAAGGAACTCAGGCAACTCAATGACAAAAAAAATAATCTGATACAAAAGTGTACACAGGATCTGAATACACATTTCTTCAAAGAAGATCTACCAACAGCTAATAAACACATGAAGAGATGCTTACGGTCATTAATCATTAGGAAAATGCAAACCAAAACCACAATGAGGTACCACTTCCTACCAATAGGATGGTAGATCAGAAAGATGGAAAATAAGTGTTGGCAAAGATGTGGAGAAATGAGAATCCTCATACAATGCTGATGGGTATGTAAAATGGTGCAACCTCTTCAGAAAACGGACAGTTACGCATGGAATTACCATATGACCCAGCAATTCCACTCATAAGTATTACACATAGGAGAAATAAAAACATATACAGACAAAAAAATTTACCCATGAAATTTCATAGCAGCATTATTAATTATTCCCAAAAGTGGAAAAAACTCAAAGGGTTATCAACTTATAAATGGAGAAATAAAATGTTTGGTATATCCATACAATGGGATATTATTACTTAGCAACAAGAATAAATCAAGGACTGACACAAGCTACAACATAGATGACCCTGGAAAACATTAAGCTAAGTGAAAGAAGCCAGTCACAAAAGACACATATGGTGCTTTGGTTAAGATGAATGTCCAAGTAGGTGCAGGTGGATCTATAGAAACAAAGTAGACTGGTGGCTCCCTAGGGCTGAGCAAGGAAGGGAAAACTGGTGGATGACAACTAAAGGACATGGGGCTTTTTAGGGTGATGATGTTCTAAAATTAATTGTGGTTATGACTGTATAATCCAGTGAGTATACTAAAAGCCACTGAATTGTATTCTTAAATTAGTGAATTGTCACAGTATTAATATTAACTAAATCTCAAGAAAGCTGTTACCAGAACAATTAGTTTAGGTAACAGTGATTTGGATCATGTGAAGGTATACTGCCATTAGATCATTGGCCAGGCTTTAGGACATAAAAGAATCAACAGTATGCCCTTTTTATAGAAAAATGATACAGTAAAAAGACATTCTTTTCATTAGTATCAAGTCCATAAAATTTTTTTTTAAAAAGATCTTTATTTCACTGCTGAAAGCACTAAGAAATTTATATTTCCCAAAATTAACTGATTTTTTTTTGGTCCAAAAACTAATTAAAAATTACCTTATGTTTTAGCTTCTTAATCTGGGTATCCATTTCATATTGACTGGTTTTTAAATCTTCATAGAAATTACATTCTCCATTTTCATATTCATGTAACTTCTTTCTCGTCATTTTTAAAAGGTTCTTAAATCTGCAGGAATGTACAGAATGAATAAGTCAAGTTTTGTAAGAGTATTTCATATTTGTTTAAACAGATATTAGGTTCTACCATATAAAAGAAACAAATCTATAAATTATAATCCTTTCATATGTTCAACCTAACATTGTTTGAAAACATTCTAGCAAAATTATAATCTTAGCTAAGTAATATGAAAAAAATATTATGACATACATGACTGATAAAAAGTTGATATTGTAACCATAAGTTTTTATAAATAATTTAAATATATATTCTAGTATGTTAGTATAAAACATTAACCTATCATCAAATATCAGCTATAACCCAATTTATCAGTATCTAAGATAAAGAAGAAAAGCATTAAACCATGAATATTTGGAAAAGATGCAAAACTATACAGTATTTTGATATATGTTGACCATAGTCCATAAGAAGAAAAGAAATTACACATGAAAAACATCAAGGATATCACCCACCCAAAGTAGAAAAAGAGAGAGGAAAGACAACATCTTTCAAGTCTGAGTTGAGAGAAAATAATACAGGCAGAGATGTAAAACAAAGGAATTAAGCAAGGAGATAAAGTGTTAAAACTTGAAGATTTTTAAGAAGAGATTTAGAGATCTAAAGCACAGTTTTTAACAAAATGAAAGGGATGCAAAACCACAGAACCAAAGACAATGAGAGAAAAATATTGATTAGAATGAGAGAACAAATTTAAGTACTCAGCAAATAAATAGAAAAGTAGCCATGGTAGGGCGGTACCCATCGCTCAGTGATTAGGGCGCTGGCCACATACACCGAGGATGGTGGATTCAAAACCAGTCCGGGCCTGCTAAACAACAAAGACAACTGCAACAAAAAATAGCCAGGCATTGTGGTGGGCGCCTGTAGTCCCAGCTACTTGGCAAGCTGAGGCAAGAGAATCGCTTAAGCCCAGGAGTTTGAGGTTGCTGTGTGAACTGTGACACCATAGCACTCTATCTAGGGTGACATAATAAGACTGTCTCCAAAAAAAAGCAACCATGGTAGGGCCTTTAAAGACACTGGGAAATGTACCATTTTTAAAAATCTGCTCTTCCTTCTAATATTTTAAAACAAATAGAAGTTTGATAACATTTACCTCACATAGAAATGGGAAATACCCACAAAAAATAGGTAAATTTCCATGTTATATTTTATAATTTTTAAAAAAGAGGCAGAAAGTACAGTAGAACCTCAGTAAGTTGATTACTCAAGGGACTGTAACAAACTGATCAACATACAGAGGTGGTCAACGAAGGGAATGAGGCCCACTGTAACGATATGTACACGGGGTGCATGTCTGGTCTGTGAAAGTTAGGTCAACTTAAGGAGGTGGTCAACTATGGAGGTTCCACTGTATAACTAAATGAAGACAATTTTTGATGTAAAAGAATGACACACTTAGGTTTTTAGACATTAAAAGACTGGAATGCTGTAGGGAAGAACACCACTGAAAGATTATTAAAAACAGTTAAAATACCTTCAGAAAGAAAAATTTGAAATAGATGACAGAGTACAGTTGACATTATGCACAAAAGGCATTTGTCACTATTTTTTTCAAAATCATTAACAAATAAGTGTATTATTTTGGCATTCAAAAAAAGTTTCAGATTGTGTTGTGAGTTCCTGAAATAAATTTTTAAATAGAATAACTTGTTTACTTTTAAAAATGCAGATAAAATTTGCAGTTAGGCTTTAATAAAGTAAAATTATAGTTAAATGAATTCATAAATAGATAAAATGATCTGAAATAGTAATATCTTACCCAGATATTTCTTTTTCTAATTCACCATTTTTCTTCATTTCTTGATTCAAGTTATATTCCAGAGATTGTTTTAACTCACTAAGTTTCTTTAATTGTTCCTTTTCATCCTCATGCTTTGAGAAAAAAATTTATTTATGTTTAAAAATCTAGAGATAGTCCTTTCTTAAAAATATTATTTCATCAATACATGAAAAATACATGTTAAGACACGTTTATAAAATACAATTTATTGCACTTATGCAATAAGAACAGATTTCAAATCAATAGCATGTCTTAAATGCTCAAAATGATTCATACTTTCATCATTGTCTTTTCTGGAATTTAAAAATCTCAATTTATTTGAAAAAGTAGTGATTTTTATACATAAAATACCAATGAAAATTTTGTAAAAAGAGTAGTTAGACACCCTAGACACACTATCAGCAACAGTTCAAAATATTCCAGATTTTGTTAAATCATAACTTCCTAAGATAATTTTTAGAAAACTACCGTCTGGTCCCCATAATATTTTTGATTATCACCTGACTTCAGGATGAGCTTAAATACTCTCATTCTTTTCTACGGGCTTCGATTTTTCCTATCCTAATGATCATTTGTCTCTATAAAGTTTTAGTCTTCCCTATAAAAAATAAAAATAAAACTTTTCCCTAATTCTTGTGGCTTTTCTGTCAACCTGTTTCGTCTCTTCCACTGGATTCTAATATTCTTTAATAATGGTCGCATCCAGAAATCTATTTTTTCATCACTTATTGTCTTCTTTTATACTAAAATCTTATTTTCAATCCCAGAATTCTAATCTCAGCACCATTAAGGCCCTATTCTTTAGTCCTTAATCTGCTTTAGTTCTCAACACCAACTGCTAGCACCAACAAAACTTACTCCTCTGGTTCTCTGACCCCACTGCATTTAAAGTAGCACCCCCTGATACTTAGTACTGTCCTTCACTATTCTTCTTTTTAAATTCTCTCAGAACTTCTTAAAACTCAGGCTTCAACCCGGATTCCCTCCTCTACGTTTCCAGCCCTGAGGGCTCCTCCTGGTTCACTTCTCATTGACAACAGTCTTAACCACACACTCATCAACCATTCCTTGGTTGCAAACATTTTATATAAGGGATACCCAACTTGTACTACTAAAGAAATAAAATTTTCAGTATGACAGAAATTAAAATATGGACTTACTGAACTTGCAATTAACAAGTTTTTTTGAAGCTGCTCAATTTTGTCCGTTTGTTTTTTGATTGTAACTTTTAACTTGGAATTTTCTTTTTCAAGCCTAAAATGTATATTTGAAAATAATTATTCTCACAGAAAAATTTTAAAAATAACATATAATGTCTGTCTGCACAAATATCTGAAGGTATAATTACATAAATTTCTAAAGTTTTGAAAACTAGGTGGTCTGGGTTCAGTGCCCATAGCATGGTGGGTTAGAACCCAGCCTGGGCCAGCTAAACAACGACAAGTGCAATAAAAAATAGCTTGTTGTTGTGACAGGCGCCTGTAGTCCCAGCTACTTGGGAGGCTGAGGCAAGAGAATTGTTTCAGCCCAAGATTTTGAGGTTGCTGTGAGCTGTGACACTACAGCACTCTACCGAGGGTGACATAATGAGACTCTGTCTCAAAAAAAAAAAAAGTAGGTGGTCTGGCAACTGTATCATTTTCTAGCTGAGTTTTCTAGGTAACACTCAAAATTTAGGGTTAGTGTACAAAAATTGTACATTTCAAAATAGCTTAAATCAAATATTCCCTTGGCTTCATAGAGATGTACTTATGATCAAAACTGATAAAACGCTCACACTACACTACTTATTTGCTTATTGTATTTTGTGTTCTGCTTTAAATAGTACTTTTGCACATGATCTTGCATCTTCTCCACACATCTTACAGCCTCTGTGTGTTGATCCCGTGCTTCCTCCAACTACAATGAAGAATAAAAAAAAAGGTTTATTAATAATCTAGAACAAATCTGCCATCACCTGCTTTGGTAACTAAATTATACTGGAACACAGACACTCCCCTTCAATCTACACATAGTTTTGGCTATTTTCTGTGCTGTAACTGCAGAGTTGAATTGTTGTAACAAGGATCTTACGGCTCACAAAGCCTAAAATAGTATCTGGGCTTTTACAGACACATTTACCAATTTTTGTTCTAAGACTAAAACATAGTGTTCTTGCTCTGAAATTGTATTTTATCAGATACTCAAATTTGTAAAATTAGTAAAATAAGGGAAGAAAGGAAATTACAGTACAGTAAAATGTATATTTTTGAATTCCAGTACTACCACATCAACTATAATTTTAAATACTTATATATGTGAGTGACCATAGCCATGCCAGTGATTATAAAAATGGAAATTCACATGATGACATATTAGGTGACAACCAGCTGCTTCATGAAATAGTATGAGAGGCAGAATGTACACAGAAGCCAAAAGATTAAGTTCTGAATCCCAGCTTCATCAGTTCCTAGTTGTGCGACCTTGAGCAAATTAACCTTCTGTATCTCACTTAGTTCATCCGTAAAATGGAGAGAATAACAGTACCTACTTCACTGGGATGTGAGGAACGTTAAACTGGAGAATTTATGCAAAGTCCTTGGAAGAGCATGTGGCCCATAGTGAGCTACATATAATGTTTGCTATTAGTATTACTAGTTTTATATTTTAGGCAAGCAGCAGGCCAGTGTAAGTGGTCTCCCATAGTTGCACTGAATCATTCTTCATGCCACCCACAATGGCAGCAAATGGGGAGGGCAAGGCCCAGAATGCATACCCAGTACTTCATAAAACTATCACCAATTCCACTAGCCAACAGTACTTTATGCCCTTAAAATAATGTATAGCTTACTTTCTCTCTCTACTAAGCTGTAGTCCCAGTTACTTGGGAGGCTAAGCAGGCAATGATCACACACTACAATGCACAGAGCACTTCTGGAGTGAGTAGTACAGAACTTACATGACCACCAGAGGCAGACTAAGGCCACTGACCTGAAAAGACCAGACTCCATTACTAAACCAAGGTCCTCAAATCAGTTCATTCCCAGAAACTGTTTAGATTGGGCTGCTTAAGCAAGCACTCTGACAAGCAGGTTAAGATTAGTGGTATGGCACATAAGAAAAGATAGGCACTCACAACTCTTTAGTTGGTAAACTCCTGTTAATCTATAAATCCAAGTTAGGTAACATAATAAAGGAAGGCAAATTTAGATTTTTTTTTTCATAGTGAGAAAAGGATGAGAATTTGATCAATTCTCTATTAGATTAAGTGGTTTTAATTTTATATTTAATTGCTTAAAATACATGTAGAATAAAAGCTTTATTTTGTCAATATCTCCAAGGAAAAAACTATTGGTATGGTATAAGGTATTTAATTTTTAATTTTATCCTAACAACTCTTAAGCTAAAATATTTTCAATTTATAAAAGGATAAATGATATATATATATATCAGACATTATTCCTTCCTTAGATGAATTTATCATTAGACAAGAGAATCTCTCATAAAAAATAAAAGCAACATAAAAGTAAGGGCTAAACTGTTCTGCATAGACTAGGCAACAAGCACTGAAGCATGAGATGAAAGAGAGTCCCACAGTCGGGGCAGAAAGGGCAGCATAAGGAATGTAGAAAGAAGGTGAACCCAGCCCAATGAACTTTGAGGATAAGATCCAACGGCAAAAAAATAAAAATATATGCCCGCACAATAACTTGTAAATGAATGTTTGTAGCAGCACTGTTTATAAAAGCTAAAAACTAAAAATGATGGAAAGGTCCATCAACTGATGAAGAGATGGCTGATATAGCCATACAATAAAATATTATTAAATAAGAAGAAATTAAGTACATCATGATACATACCCCAGCACAGATGCACTCTGAAAACACTACCCTACAGAAAATGAGCCAGTCATAAAGGACTACATAGTATATGATTCTATTTATATGAAATATCCAGAACAGATAAATCTATAGATACAAATAATAGATGGTGGATGCCTAGGACTGGGGAAGGTGGAGGGACATGGAAGGAATAGAGGGTGGTGGTGATGGCTAAGTGATTCAAGGATTCTTTTCAGGGTGATAGAAAAGTTCTGACATTGTTTGTGGTGACAGTTATACAACTCTGTGAAAATGCTAAGAGATGGTGAGTTGTGCACTTTAAATGGATAAACAATATGGTATGTGAATTATACCTTAATAAAGTTGTTTTAAAAATCCAAGGGCAAAAAATAAATAAAAGTCCAATGGCAGGATCTAGATAATTGTCTTAATTCTCTATTTTATAGGTACATACTACATATGATCTGAATATTTCTGTTTCTTCATAATATACTTAAAATGAAAGGAAAATGAAGGAAATGCCTCTCTTTTCAAATAGTTTGTAAATTAACCAAACACATTTGCATTTTGGAGAAGAGTATAATGAATGGCCTTTCTGCGTAAGTTAACCTGAAATCCATGAAATAAATATACACAGATTCTGTACCCATTCACATAAGATTGAAAAAAAAAAAGAAAAAACATTTTCTGGAACATTCCATTAAATATCCATTAAATATTATCCTCTGATTTAATCTGGTTTGCTTTATCATGGGAATAGAGAAATCACTAAAAAACTACTGATTAACAGGAAAAAAGTCTCTGAGAAAAAATATATAATTCTCAACTTTCCTAACAGTTATTATAAAAAAAAGTATGTAACTATAAGAGAATAATGGCAGGATGAAAGTGAAAGTTTAAGAAATAAGTGCATTGGCTCGGCACCTATAGTTCAACCGGCTAAGGTGCCAGCCACGTACACCTAAGGTGG